TCTCATCTGATCCAATCATTACTGCAAATATTGATAGATATGTATCAGTATAACTCTCAGAAGTATATTTTGCTTGGTCGAAAGATGGTGCTTCTTACACTATGGATGTGAAAGATATACCTCTTGATAAATGCCCTTCTGGTAGATTTTTGGGAGAAACTGTATAAACTGATAACTTTGGTCTATAATTCAATTATAAATGCCCAAAGACCCTAAATACAACATTGTAGGGAGGCTTTGCAACAAAAGAAGCTAGATATATCTAAATATTAGTAGGTGGTTGCAATTAAAAACAAAGCCAAATTTAAAATGCGCCAATGATACTGATATCATGAAAGCCTTGGATGTTCTTGAAATAAACCTATTAACTTCCAACCAATTCGTTGATGTTAATGAAAGAGAAAGGAATCCAGTAAAATCTATAATTAAAAATTTCTATTCAACTAGTAAATCAGAATTAAGTTAGACTTTTTCGCTCAAACTAGGCTAGAATTTTCTAATTAAAAATACATCTCCATTATCTAATCAAATTTATTCAGAAAACATAACTTACTATTCAATAAGAGCTGACGAAACAAATCTTGGAGACTATAAAAAATATTAAACTACATTCAGGTATTTCATTCTATTAGATGACAATATTTTGACAACATCCATAGAAGTTTACACTATCTCAGATGCACTTTCAAGTACAGGTGGTATATTAGGAATTGTTTCTTTAATCGTATCAATCCTCTTATCCAAAATATAAGAAAATTTCTTTTACTAATCACTAGTTGGAGACATATTTTAAATTACTAATGAAGATGCTATTTAAAAGAGCAAATCTAGTAATAAAAAGCCTTCAATTAAAATTCAAGATATGAACTCATCGAATATTAATTTTTCTAGTCGAGATCCTGAAAATTCATTGAATGAAACACAATATTCAAGGCTTTTAGCCAGCGTTAAAAATAGGATAAGATTCTTCTTTACAGATTAGGAAATGTATTGTAGAATATTTGGTTGCTGCAAGAAAAAAGAGTAAAGGAATCTTATAAACAAAAGAATGAAACTTTTTAAGAAAGCTTAGGAAATGCTTGACAAGAAATTAGAGATCTTTACAATATTAAGAAACATTTAGATGGTTAAACTTCTAAAAAAGATTACACTCTCGAACTATTAGAGAAAACTTACTCCCTAT